AGACAGAAGGGGCGGTGAGCTCCGTGTGGGGCAGGACACCCAGTGGCTGCACCGGGAGAGGCCAGGCCAGCCCCGGCCCCTCCCTCCACCGTCCCAGCCCTGACCTCTGCCCTGACCTCGCCCGGCAGGTGGCCACCTGCCCAGGGTGCTCCTCAGTGGGGGCCACCTCCTCGCTGCCCTGGCAGCCAGCCCCCCTTCTCTTACCTCTTCGGCCCGGCTTCCATGTCCCTGCGAGGCCGCAGCCTCCTCGTCTGGCAGGCGCCCAGCGGGGGGACGGGCTCTCTGATTGGCAGGCCTCCCCCGAGGATATTTTTCCATCGATTTTTATAAAGAGCCTGGAAGGGCGAGGGAGAGACACACACAGAGAAACACCCACGGGAGAGAGACCCGTCCATGGGCTGCCTCGGGGATGCAGCCTCGGCCGGAATCAAGCCCGGGACCCTCCCGTCCGCAGGCGGGCGCTGTAACCACTGAGCCACACGGGCCAGGGCTGACCCGGCGTCCTCAGAAGCTCAGAGCGCGGGCAGGTGGAGGTCTCCTTTGGGTCACGTTGCCCTTTTACCGAAAAGGTTCCCCCAGACGCCCCATTGGGAGGCTCGGGTCCCTGTTGTGTTCCAGGCTGAGTATCTGGTTTCTGAAAAGGGCCAGCGAGTGGAAACGCAGAGAAATGCCTGTCACGGACATGGGGGGGGGGGGGGGAGGGGAGGGGGTGAGGCGGCCTCAATGCCGGGACTGGAAGGAGTCGATCGGTAGCGTTGCATTTCTTTTTAAAAATTAAACAGTTCCTTTAAAAAATACATTTATTAATTTACTGATTTCAGAGAGGACGGGAGAGGGAGAGAGAGAAACATCCATGAGGAGAGAGAATATGGATCGGCTGCCTCCTGCACGTCCCCTCCTGGGGATCGAGCCCACATCCTGGGCATAAACCGTTTTTTGTGTTGTTTTTTTTTTTTTAATGTCGTTACCCACAGATTTCTAGACGGAAGCCTTGGGAACTTCTATTAATAGTTACCTCTGGCCCTGGCCGGAGTGGCTCAGTGGATAGAGCGTCAGCCTGCGGACTAAAGGGTCCCGGGTTCGATTCCGGCCAAGGGCATGTGCCCCGGTTGCAGGCTTGATCTCTCCCCTAGTTGGGGGCATGGAGGTGGCAGCCGACCCATGATTCTCTCTCATCGTTGATGTTTCTATCTCCCTCTCCCTTCCTTTCTGAAAGCAATAAAAAATATAATAAAAAAAGAATATTGTTTTTAAAAAGATGTAAGTTACCAAAAAAAAAGAGCAAGCGAATGCACACACATCCCTGTGTGTATCAGGCCAATAAGTGTGACCGGTGGTTTTATTAAAATATATCCGTTATTATTGGGAAAATTCCGGACTTTCAGAGAGGGGGCCACACCTTCGAACAGGCCCCCTGTGGCTTTTGATATTTTACTCAGGCTTCCGAGCTAAAACCAGCAGATTGTTAAACATATAATTCTCTGTGCAAGAATGTATTTTATATGGAATTTATAAATTGTTTTACAAATAAAGGAATATGTATATATAGGCATATGTGATTTCTATACTATATATGTAATTTTTTGTTGTTGCTGTTAATCCTCAGCTGAGGATACGTTTTCATTGATTTTCAGGGATGGAGGGAGGGGGAGAGACAGAGAGAAACATCCATGTGAGAGAGACACGTTGATGGGTTGCCTCCTGTACCTGCCCTTAAACCTAAATCCCGCCCATGGGAGCCCCCAAATTGACGGGCATAACAGCCAGTAATGTTTGCGGAAACTGGTGCAGGCTCTTGGCCCCTTGATACCACTTGCTATCCCTTTATGTGTCTTGCAACGTTTCTTTAAAAAAACAAAATGATGTCAGAGAGGAAGGGAGAGGGGGAGAGAGAAACATCCACGATGAGAGAGAATCATGGACCGGCCGCCTCCTGCACGCCCCCTGAGCGGGAATCGAACCCGGGACCTCCTGGTTCATAGGTCGATGCTCAACCCCTGAGCCACGCTGGCCCGGCCAGTGTCTGCGGTTTTTACCTGCAAGTTGGGACACACACACACACACACACACACACACACACAGAGGAAGGAAATGAGAAAGTGAGAGGAAGGGGAAAAAAGAGAGAAAAAAAATACCTTTGCTTTTGAGTCGCTACTAAGGGGCTGTTCTGGGCCTGGGCGCCGAGGTAAACCCGTCTGAAAATGGACCCGGTGACAACGGGCAGATTGTGTGCCGTTCAGTGGGAAGTTAATAAAACATCCCGTGTTTCCGAATGAGAGGGTCTCGGGCTTCCCCTG